ACTTTTCCAACTCAGTCATAAAACCACTGGAGTAGCCAGTGTGCGAAAGACCAAACAACACACTCAAAGAATGTTGCACTCCTAATGCACTTTTCGCTGCAAAAGCCGCTTCCCAAGAGATCGACCTATGAACACCAATGCGAAAAACTTTTAACAACTCACGGCTACTTGTACCCTTCCCATTTAATACAACAATAAAAAAACCCAAAATAAAAGTAAGCTGAAAGTCGCATCTATAAAAGCTGTAAATAATAAAGCTCCGCATTGATCTATTACTTTCTGGGATGCGCCATGCATTCGACTTTCATTCAGAATTGGCACTTGAATACAATATGGTCCACCCAATCTACTTAGAGTGGCTAGCCAATTTACAAGTCAGTGCTTTTATCCTTCCAGTTCAGCCTGGTACTAATTTAGCCGACCACTAGGGGTGGAGCGCTTGATTGGTCTGGGCGAGACTCGATCCAGGTTTTGACCCACAGACTATCGGAAGTGGCGCCGCCTTCCACTACACCACGTCGGCCCATGGAACGTGCATCAATACTGCCTCGAAAATTGTGCGCACTCAAATATCATGAAAAAAGTGTTTACCGAGTGAAGAAATCAAGTGGATGGAGTAAGCAGTGGTCAGCATCCCTAATTAGCTCCTTTACAAGTAACACTCATCATGAAGCATGCGACGTGCATCTGGCATGTATGCAGAATCGTTTAGCTTTTTGAATGTGTTTTACTGCATAAATGCGGAGACTTCTAGGGCAAAGCCATTGCTTGCTTTACCACCGCCCCCCCCCCCTCCCCTCCCGCCTTCTACAACTTATTTGCAACCCTACATGAAAAGCTCTCGAATCCACTATAAAAAATAATGACTTCCCGCAGAAATCCATCAAATGCGGACATTACTGAGACACTCCCATATAATATGCGCAATCCAGAGTACGCCCGCTGTGGTCGTTTATCCCACAAGGACTATACCCCAATTTCCTCCATACGTCACCACCACAAGCAGTTAAACGTAAATGACCCAAGTTGGAGCAAAATGATTCAAAATGATCAATCACGCAGTCATTAATTTTGATATTCTTTAAATAAGAAAAGATATCAGCATGATCAGGGAGTGCGCCATGGGCTAACCATATTTGCAACCCCAGCGTGATAAAAGACGTTTGAAAGCTTGTTATACATATGAGCACATGGTTACAAAGCTAGCGATTTTCTAGTGAAAAAATTACATCTTTCAGATGAGTGTGATCACCAAGGAGTAAATGAAGTGACTTTGCACAAATGAAAGTTTGGTGGGGTTGGGCAAAATTCGATCCACAGCTCATGTGCCCTACGTCTCACAAACAAGGCGCTATTTCCTCGAAATTACTGGCCAAATGAACAAATTATTGATCATTACATCTTGAGAAAAAATTTAGAAGACCGTGGTAAGGCGAAGGATAACTTCTGCAGATGCAGCGAACTTTATAATTTATTCATTTTTTGGATAAAAATGGACAAATAAATAGCGATAAAAATTTTCTGAAAGTATTCATCGTTTTTTTTGCTTCACTGTGAGTTGCTTTCACTTTTTGAATCGAAACATCAGCGCAATCGCGCAACATGATCCGATAAATCACACGCGCGTAAAATCAATGACTATTCTTCAACATGCGACTTGGCGATATGGGCTGAACTGCGAAACAGCTTATTGTGTAAGCATAATAGATTGAAAAATAACGCAAAATTCGTACCGTATTCCTCGTCATCGCAAAGTAGTACATCAAGTAGCATGCTTGCAACAAAAATCCAACGATGTTGACGAAAATCACTACATTGTCTTGCTTGAGAACGCCATACTGTAACCAGAAAGCACACGAGATGAATGCGATAAGAAACGGTGCTGAGCCGGTGCCTTCAGTAGTACCACGTTCGCGAATCCGTAAACAGATCTGAATTCCGCACAGAAACAGACCGATAGTCGTACAAATCGCTGTGAATGACAAGTACGGTAGAATTACATCGGCCGTTGTCATGTGTGATCTGCAAGATGGATAGAAAATAAAACGCAAAAAATGATTATGAAATGCTCAAGAGCGAAGAAGAGTTGCTGGTGAATCTAAGCTTACAAGTTCTCACTCATGGATTGGATTCCATAAAAGGCCGAGGGATACAGTAAGCTAATCAATAAGCTTTCTAGCCAAGACTGATAGTCGGAACTGGAGAAAAGCTGACGGATTCATTCACAATAAGTTAGGCGTGTACGAAATAATCAGTTTCATCATTGAAGAAAAACTGCAGAAAAAAAGGTAATAAGTGCTACATTGTTCTCATAATTAGTTAATAGAGGGAAATATGTTCACAAACTACGCCTCTGCGCCGAAGCCCCTCCCCCCAATATGCGTCTACGGGTGTTCACTATTGTCCTAGGGCCAAAATATAAATATGCTAATCATCATAACAATTTTTATGAATGAAGAACATCACGCAAATTCTGCGTGACTTTTCGCCCGCCATGGTCTGATTTATCTTCTCGCTTCCTTTGGTTCTCATCGATACTACAAATCTCCTGG